ACTCTATACATTCTAGCAGGGAAAATACAAGATATCAGCTTTTACATAAAAAGCTGGAATATGAATCTGCTGTGTATCCCATGTCTCAGCTAATATACCTCCATCCTTCCTTCACATCCTTCTTGACTTTCTCCCTCCCCTCCTCTTTTCAGTTGCCCATCTCTTTAGCTTCTCTCTTCAGGGTCCTGCTCCACAGATGACTAACTTTAAATTGATGTAGTTATAGGTCTCTGCAGCAGAACATTATGGCCATGCAGGTGCTATACAGAAAACTGCTGCATTTCAGGTTGTAAAACACTCAGTAGCTGACTGGTTTCATTGGGAATGGGGGAACACTTATGACATAATGCTTATCCATTCATGCAAAAGCACATAGAGAAATAACTGAGCAGTATGCTCAATTATTTCTCTAGCAGAGTATTACAGTAATTTGGGTACCTAACAATGGATTTTCCATACAACAAACAAGTATGCAAAAGATAATAATTTGCATTCTTTTTTTGAGCTTTTCAAAATTGGATTCATAAATAAAACTATTTTTTGTTGCAATGTTTTAGTTTATGAATGACGGATTAGCCAACTATAGAGTATCTTGAGGTTCTTGACTTTATTAATTCAGTATTGCCACAGTTATTCACTCAATCTCTGTCAGCCTGTTTACACACAGATTGCAAAACGTGGCAGCATCACATTCATTAATGATTGTTGCTTGCCAACAGCAGATAGGTTTGCAATTCCCACAATGGCAAAGGTTAACAGAAGGAAGCTTACCACATTTAACAAATTGCTGCACAACTTGCATGCTGCAAATTTGTCCAAATGAGCCCCTGATTAGCACATCAAATATGTGTTGTTTAATGACAACATTTAGGCAGAGGAACATTTTTTAAAAGAATATAGAACAAACCCAAGAACTGAGCAAAATGGATAGAATCTTGATCATGGTAAAAGTGGTTTTACATCGCAATGGCGATATATGGATAGAGTGATATATTCATCTTTGTCTTGAAAACCAAATGAGAAACAGTTTGTGGATAAAATAACTATATATGTTTTTTTCTATTCTCACACATTTAACATCTAGCAAATCAAGGTACTTAAGTACACTAATGCAAATATCATACAAATCCAGTCCTGCCATTAGTCCTGTACATTTATCGCCCACCATGACCTACAAACATGCATGACAAATGTGCCTTATATCAGGTTGTGAAACATCACTGCAGCTTTGCAGTATAAGCCAGCTGTTTCAGCAGCTCACTGCTGTTTCTGACATCCTCTGTGGTGCAGTCCTTTTGATTTGGTGGGAACGGGGAGAGGTTAGAAATTTGTGACTGCTACATGGCCGTTACTCTCTTGGAAAACATGTTCTGATGTCCCTGCTGCAGATTGCAGCAGCTACAGGGTCATAGTGTGAGCGCTGTTTTCTGTGTGGCTTATTGCTGGTCATAAATGATTTTGTATAAAATGGGTTGTAAATACCTTGCTTTGAAAAGCAATTCTACTCCCTGAATGACATGAAAATGAACTTTTCTTTCACCTACTCCAATACCCTGTAGTAAAATGGTGAGATGTGAATCTGAATTGAATGAACCTGGAAGCTTTATGATTTCACAACGTCAAAGCTCGTTGAATGTAGTAAAAAAATTAATCAATTAATTAAAAAACAGCAACTGGCATTGGTTTGCAGTGATGACATCTACTCTCACCTCTTACCGAAGGTTAAATGAAACCTGATTTAAAACACAAAGAGCAGAAAGAGATCAAGGCGTCCCTGTCTGACTCTTCTTGTCTGTAAAAGTCACCATTCTGGATGATGTAGCCTGCCTCTGCAATGCCGCTGCTGCTACTGCTGCTACTCTCAAAAGCTTGTTTCACATCTTACACAACCCTAAAATGAGCTTTTATGAACAAACACCACATTTGGACAATGTGAGCACAGCAGCAGATACAGCTATTTCCAGAGATGGTTCTTCTGATGAAAGCTTCCCCCCAAAATACTGTTGACTGTTCTCCTTGTGTATTTATATGCACTCTAAGCATGAAATTTGATTTGTTTAACATCTTCTAAAGGCTTACATGGCTTAAAAGTAAAAACGTTTTTGATATGAGCTATTAACTGATTCAATGATTGAACAGTATGGAAAACATATCGCTGTTAAAGACTTATAGAGTACATCTAAAGTAATTAGAGCGAATGTACTAAATAATATATATTTATAAGGTTCAAATATTTGTTAACATTTCTTAAAGGTTGTTCCATGTTATTATGTAACTGTATGTGCATGTGTGTTTCAGTGAGTGGGTGTGTATCTGAATGTGAAGGGAGACGTTTTTCTCAAGGTTATAGGTTCCTCAGTGATGCGCCCTGTGACGCCAGAGCGCACAGTAAGTAACAGGACGGTTATGCTCCATTAAATAGTCGTTTTACATAAAAGAACATCACATCTCTGCTTGTTCAGATACTGTAGGCTGTAACACCTCCAGGGATGCAAGGATGAGTGTTCGATTCCTGTCCCTGATAGACTGAGAGGTTTTGTTAACATAATTCAAAAGGCATATATGTGTGCCATGTCTACAGCGACAGCCCGACCCGTGACCCATGGAAAGAAAGTACTTGAATGGGGAGACGCGCGCACTCGGATTGGCACAAGGTAACCGAATCGATAAATCCCCAGGCGGTTTGCCAGTTAGTGACATGTAATGTCCTGTTACTCTATAATATAATCCAAACAATAAACGGCCGGGTGGGTTTATTGATATCTTACACCTTCAAAAATGTGTGCCCCGCGACAACTCACCTGTTTTACCGCAAATCAGCGGATCCCACCGGACTGAACTTCACACTCGGTCAGCCTCAGTCATTTGCCAAGCATCTCCAACGCTCCATCACCTCCCCTTAGCCATTTGTTCTTCTGCTTCTACCACCCTCTCCTCCTCTTTCTCCTGCGGCAGTCTGGAGCCTCCCTCGAGTGCACCGTGGTGCGCCCGAGCCCGGCCACACCCGACACCTGCGGTCACCTCACCTCACTCTGCGGGAGGATAATGTGGGTATTATGGCGACCAGTCCATTACTATCTGAGCACTGACACAAATGCTCCTTCTGAGCTTGGCCAGAGTGAGAATAACGTCTGAGCATGCGTGACATCCGCTGAACACCAGCACTGATCACTGTACGCTATCTGTCACCCCAGTGCGCGTGTGTGTGTTTACCTCCCCATATCATCTCCCAGCTGTTCTCTCTCCATTTTATTTATTTATTGGCATGAAGGCTCATCGACTCACAGGATCCCCAGAATTCCCAGTTTCACAGTGCACGGTTTATGGTACTTTGATTTATTGCAAATTAGCTTGAGATTGTGTATAATTAAATCACAATATCAGGGCCATAACTCCCTACCATGTCAATATAAGTATATTATTTAAGACTCTATTGGGCTCATGTGGTGCATACTCCAATAGTGTAAACATGTAACTTTATTTACTTGAAGGTGAGACAGAACGATGGGGTGTCTATAGGGGTCACCGCTCAATTTTATCCTCGGCCCACAAAGTGGATTTAACTGGCCCTGATTTGCATGAACTTCATTAGGTAGAATATTTCCAAATCAGGTTGATCAAGCTAGGGTAAACATATAATAATCAAGAAGTATTCATTTTAAATATGAATTTTTAGAAGAAATAAGACATTTGGTGTGCACGTTACTATTAGGTAAAAGGAATGACAATGCATCAGTTCAGATATACATTACATACACTGTATGGTTAACAGAGCCTTATATAAAATCCTTTGCCTCACACTCACACACGGATGGCAACAAGCTACCACTTCAACACATGGACAGGAGGAGACTGAATCACCAGCCCCAGCATTAACCCACTCTAGATTGGTGTGTAAGATCTTAACTGGCCTGCACAGTCTGGACCTCCACCACATCCAACAACTTTCTGATGAATTGAAAAGCCAACAGCGAGGCAAGTCTTTTCACCCAGTATCGCTGCTGGGCCTCATTATTCCTGTTGTGGCTGAATATGGAGCAACAGCCCTCAGCTTCCACAAAGCCTTCACAGAAAGGTCGAGACTGTTATAGCAACAGATTAATAGGTTTTGGAATCAAATGTTTGATACTTGCAGATGTCCATTTGACCACACATTATGTAGTCTGTAGTGGAGAGAACGGTGGAATTACTCTCTCTGCACTGTCCTCCAGGGTTTGACTCACAAACTCTGCTCAACCTCACGCTTCCATCTTCCTGCAACCTGACAGTAATTGTGTTGACATTTTGCTGCAGTAACACTTGTGTGCTTTGTTCCATTTCAATCTGTTTTAACCTTTGCCAAATGCAGCTGGGTTCACAGTTTCATAAGAAGCCTCTGGTTGCTGTTACGCTACACTATGCTACGTCTCTCATCTCCTGGGACTCTGGGAGACACACACCACTCACTATCAAGATCAATAACAGTTTGTATGAGCATCTAACAAGAAGCAAAAAATAAAAAAAACTATTTCCATGTGGACAAATTGCCCCAGATATTTGGATTATATAATGGCCACACATTTCACTAATTAGCTCTTTTAATCTGTGATGTGAATGTGCCAGGCTAATAATGTTGTGGGTTTCTGGGCATTCTGGTGAGTTAATTCACTCATCAACAGAGGTGATTTTTTTAAAGATGTCAGTGTTGTGGGCCAATAAACCAGAAACCATTAGCTGCTGATAAAATTGCTAAATGTGACAGCAGAGGAGATGAGATAATTCTCTGTGGGTTTCTCACTATGAGTGACCAATCTAAGCACATTTTATTTTAATTGAATGAAGCCACCCATTCAAAAGCTTATTGCCAGAGCAGAGCCTAGAGCGTTAAAAAAAAAAAACACCCTGCTTCAGCTCATTTAGAAGACAGAATTTGAGCTTACTCTTAGGAGACTGGTTTCCCTTAGCACCACTGAAATCAGGCATGTCAGATGCTGAACTTGTACCCTTTATTTATTTAAAACAACCAGGGTGATATTTTCACATTAGTGCCTTATATTAGCTGATAAAAGTTCAATGAGGACCAGTGGTGCAGTGATTGAAAATGCTAATTTCCTCGTGTACTGTTTTGTAACGGGCCTGGGACTATTTTTATACTAGCCATGCTCTTCAGAGAGAGGCATGGTGGTCGACAGTATAACTGACTACCTTTCTTACTTTCTTTCTTTGTCTCATCCATGCATTGGTTTCAGGCTATTTTTCACTGGATGAGGAAGAGTATTGACTGTTTCCATGGCTACAGTGCGTAAGAGTACATTGGACACAGATATTATGTAGGACATAGTTTCAACTACGCTGCAGCCAGGTCTTGAAAATAGGTTCATCGTATTCAGACGGGAAGGGGGAGCCTCCAGGGAGGAGGTGGTGACTTGATAAGGATATGCTAAGTGAAGCAGAGCTGAGCTGTCAGCAAGGAGGAAGTGGTGGAAGAAGAGGAGAAGGAGGGGGCAACTGTGGTGGAAAGAATAGGGAGGCGATGAAAGGAGTAGGGGAGCGACAGAGAGGGTTTGATGAATTCAAGCACATGTGAGACTCAAGAAGGTTTCGGCACTGTTTGTCCTTCTTGCTCCATCTGCGCTCAAGATGGAATAAATTATATGGTGAAAGACAGAGTGGCAGCTGAAAGGGAAAGGTTTGACTTTCACTGTGCTAAATGTGATTTTCTGTCGCTATCTCCTGCAGCCAGCTGCAGCTATCTCCTGTTTCTCTGTTTTTTCCCCCTCTCTCTCCTTCTCAAACATACATTCTCTCCTTCTGTTTCTCACTTATGCTCACACACACATTGACACACATGCAGGATGTTATGTGTCAGCCAGTTTCACACTTGTTTGACAGCGGAGGCATCATAATTTGCAGTCTGTCAGATCTCAGTCATGGACATTACATTTACAGTTTTTAACAGTTTGATTAAGAATCTGGTGTTTTCAATGATAAATAAACATGTTTGTGCACAGCCTCATTGAGTATTCCTCTGTCTCAGGAGCTAGGCCTGTACCGGGCACTGGGTGTTTATAACTGTTAACAGGATGCCATTATTCAACGCTGTGGTCCTTGAACATTGCTCTCTTTACAGCACGAGCTGATGAGAGTAGAAACAAGTGAACCGCAACCGCAGACAAGACACATTCATCACCTCCACTGTGGAGGGGAGAAATGAGGGAGTTAGAAAAAGAAAAGGGCTGAGATTAAAATGGGGATATTTGAAGGAAAATGGAAGCCTGGGCTTCATGGTGGTGTGGGACACTGCAGCAGTAATTAATAAATAAATAACATCTAGGCTGAGTCCACCACCATCTGTGTGTGTTCCAGTGTGGGAGGTGGGTGTGATGGTTTCTGTCTCTCATAGATTTTGCATTACCACAGTGGTGGAAAGCAGGAGGGAGGTGTGTGGAGGGTAAAGAGCAGGAATAGACAGGCAGGAGGCAAGAAGGGGGGTTTCAGGGAGGTAGTGTGTTTAAAAAAAAAAACGCTTCAGGAGTGAAAGCACGGCAAGAAAGGTCAGAGGGAATTAAAGCTTAAAACCCCTCTGTTACACTTCTGGTCCAGAGAATAAAACACAACTTTATTGCATAACTCTCTCTGCATCGCGTGTGTGTGTTTCAAGAAGGTTGAAAATGAGTCAGTGTAACCAAAGCACCCTTGAAGCTCTTCAGACCAGTGTTTCCCCACACACTGAGATGTTTGTCAGTGCTTTCACTTTGGAATAATAACCTGTGATTACTTTGACAGTGTTAATGGGTTTGCTTTGCCATGGTTACAATCCCAGGAAAAGTTTAATATCTTGGTTAGACACTGTGATAGGGCTGTTTCTGTGTCTACATACAGCATCATTTGTCAAAAGCTGCATCACAACTCAGATTTGGGGCAATGAGAACATGGGTTTAGAAACTCTGGTGCAGACCTTCATGAATGTCAAATGGTTATATAACACAACTCTGCATCATGCAGTAAGGTGTAGTCTTAAGGAAACAGCTTCATCAGCATAAATACTGGATAGATTAACCTGGACAATGTCTGCATTGAGGGCTCGGACTCAAAGGAACAAATAAAATGCTTGAAATACCAGAGTGAAACACTGCAATGTACTGCAGTGCCCTGCACAGACGTAATGTCTATGTGCTTCAAATCTCAACTGTGTCATAGCACTGAAATGAAGAGACCAAGTAATACAGTATAGGAGGTTGACTATTTAAAGTTCTACATGGATAATATGCAGCTATATCCTTTAGCTGTTCATAAATGTATGTTTATTTCTAAACATACATAGTGTCCTCATTTTAGTATATTAAAATTTAACCGCACACAATGAAGATAGAAGCCCAGCTTCATATAGGTCATCAGCCAGAGGGTATTATATGGGTATTACTGTGCTCATTATTTATATGTTGATATGGAAATATTTGTTTTTATACAATGCAAACCTGAAAAAAACTGAGAAATATTTCCTTATAAAAGATGTAAATACAATAATCTGAGACAGAACTTTATGCAAAACGATGCTGCAGAACACAAAAAACAATTAAATATCTGCTTGTTAAAAATATCGCAAATATTCTGCTGAACACTGGTGTCATTCAGTTTTTTTAAAACACATTTGGAATTGTAAAATTCACCTACCTAATCGTGATCTTTAATTGCTACTTATGGAAGAGGATTAACGCCCTAATCCTCTTTTATAGTAACTTAATGCACGCATGGATAAATAAATAAATAAGCTAACATTTTCTTCTATTTGGTATGTTGGTATTTGATGTTTGTTACATTTAATTCAGATTTTATTTTATTTTACTACAAAAGAATTACGTAAAAGGGGCAGCTTTATTTTTGTATCTCCCTTGATATTTGTTGATAAACATGACATCATGGCATTTGGTTGTGATGGTTAAGGTTAGGTATTAGGGCCTGGGGAACTGATTATGTCAGTTATTACAACTAGTGAGACCAACATGTGTGTGTGTGTATGTAAATCACTGCCTTATCTTATTACAAAAATGCACACAGAAGATTTTTCATCTGCCTTTCTTCTTGTTTTTTTTTTTTTTTGCACTGTCTCACTTACACACACATAATGCAGGTGTTTGATATCCACTTAAATAACCCTCAAGTGGAACTAATATAATCAACTAAAGGTTCTGCTTCTCCTACCTCACTGGTCCTGGCCTTATCAGGCCATAGCGAGTGGGGATGAGTAATGCGAGTACATCCAGGCTCTGTAATTGGGTTTATGCATGTCTGATTCCAGCCCAAGAACCTCATGGAGACAAATGGCATGGGAGTTTGCCTATGCGCACACACATGGTAGAGAGGCGGGGGTGAAAAAAAGGGGAAGAGGAGCAGGGGAACATGACATCCAGGTCAAGAATCATTGGTACACTGATATAAGCTTTGCATGCTGAGTGACTTTGTATTGTATGCTCTGCCAGATGTTGTCAGTCCTTAATATCTCTACACGAAAGTGCTGCAGTTTATTACAGCTCTAATGATTAGCTAATTAACTTAATAGTTAATAAGATAAAGACAGTTCATCTGCAACTATTTTGATAATCATTTGATCAGTTCAGTCACTTTCGAAGAAAACATACTAAACATTTAGCCTACTGGTTCCAGCTTCTCCAATTAAAACAAAGCTGACTGTTAGTTGTAGCTCTAGATTTTACAGTCAACTGCCAGTTTTGAGCTATTAAATTATACAGAAAGGTGTTTCTAATATTCTGTCCAAACACCATGCATCCTTATAAATGATCACCTCTCTAAAACTGTTTCTATAAAAACTGAACATTATAATGTTCTCTGCACCTCCATCACTGTCTGGTTTGGCTCAGCAACCAAACAGGACAGTCAGGACTGCAGAAAAGGTCATTGGTGCAAGCCTGCCCTCCATGGAGGACCTGTACACCTCACGGGTCAAAAGGAGGGCAGAGAGGATCACTGCAGACCCCTCACACCTCTGGACGGCGTTCCAGGTCACTGTACGTCAAGACAACCAGGCACAGGGACAGTTTCTTCCCCTGGGCCATCACTCTGATGAACACTTAACCAATGACAGTATGACTGGACAGTAACCCTCAGTGCAATACCTGTAAATATATCTCGTACAGATTATACGGACTCGTACAGGTCTCTATTTTTAAGTACTCTATTTTTATTCCTACTTATCCCATTTCACAATGAGCATTCCTTGTCTGTCCGCATTGTTTACTGCCTGTTTATACTGCTTATTATGTTATACTAGCCTTATGCTGGTTTACAGTTTACTTGCCCCTTGCATGAGGATATATACATACACAGTGAGAGCCGATGTACCAGAGTTAAATTCCTCATGTGTCTGACACACCTGGCCAATAAAGCGGATTCTGATTCTGGTAAAGATAGTTTTAGCTAGATGGGGCCTATATAATCTATTAAACTGGCATCCAAGTGTATACAAACATCTCTTATTTATGTATCTTTTAATATCCTGTGGTAGGCTATTTCATAAGGATTTTGTGATGTATTTTCACCCATAGTGGTTGTATCATATTTAAATGTCATGCTTCATAATATTCCAAAATGTAAGTATTCATGTGTTGTTTCTAAAAATGTACTCTCCGCAGAGAGCTTTGGATGTGGTATTGTTGACGGTCTTATCAAATTAATAACCAAACAGAGAGAAGGGGGAGTCTCTCTGCTCATGTGCGCCTCCCCGCGAGTGTTGGGCTGGCGGGGTCTTGCCGTGCCTCCTTTCCCATGCTCGCCCCCCGAGGCGCGTGTCCGTGCGACCCGGAGTGTCCGCCAGGGGGCAGCTGTGTCTCGGTCTGAGGCTGCGCCGCTCCCGCTGCATCACAGAGAGGAAAATACCACCAGATGGCGGTTTAGGATTGCTGCTCTTCTCTCAAGGCGCGGTTCCGCTCGCACGGCCAATTTTCAATATTAAAATACGCAAGATTTTATAACGAAAATCGAATTATTGTTTCGGAAGGTGATAATCTATTCGGCGATGGTCGTTAAAGGTGAGTGTCTTGTGTTTTTGTCGTGTTTTGAGTGCTGGGAAGGGAGACGGAGCACAGATTAAAGATGGTGGACACAGACAGGGAAGACTGGCTGGTTGGGGGATGGGCGCTAGCGGCTAACGGAGGTGAATGTGCTTTCTCTCTCTTCCTCAGTTACATTATAGCATAGCGGAGCCATTAGCTTGTGAGCTAACCCCAAAATTTCGGTGAGACAACTTGCTAGAAGGGCGAGTGGTAGCTGCAGCACAGGCCTGTTTTTGCAACCAAATCCCATCCAGGGCTGGAGTTTGGCTTGTCAACAAATAAAGAGCCATGCTGTGTGACGTGTTTTCTTTCTCTTTGCAAGGCAGGATTCAGAGCATCACCTTCTCTCATTTTGCACAGCCCTTTTAGGATTGTACAGTATTGCCCCGCTGCCGTGCATTGCTGTCTTTGACTTTGGTTACGTTTGTCATCCGCTCAGTTGCTACTTGTCACGTTGCTGACTTTGTTGTTATCCACCCATGGTAGTTCTGCTTTGTGCAAGAGATGTACACTAAGAGATATGAACGCGCTACTTTCCCCCTGTCAACATCAGCATCCCGCCTCCTTCTTACCGTCAAGTTTTCAGAGTAGTGGTGACTTTTTACACGGCTACTAAACAGGTTGCTCTTTTAATGAATAGCAGCACGTGGGTGCTTTGGAATATAACATTTTCAAGATAGGCTAGTGCATGTTTAACAACATTATTATGGCGCTTCTTTCCCCTTTCCCGCCCCCTTCTGTGCGGGGAAGTAGGCACCACTGAGCGGGGAAACATGAGTCACATTAAGGGGGATGGGCTCAACCAACCAGCCCTACAGGTTCATACAGGCTGCACTTCTGGCTCCCCTCCCACATTGACCTATGCAGAGTTCACCCCGTGCAGAAGTAGTCAATAGTGGGTCAGAGTGCCTCCTGGCAGTGTGCATTAATCTCAGATTGTTGCGTAACTGCTTTGTTTACAATCAGCCATGTGATTTCTAATCCAGGCTCTTTTGGATTGCTGTCTGCATATCAGCCCGCTTGGATGCCAGCTGGCCTCCTATTGTCACTCAGTGTCCGCCCTACATTTCATAAATTACATTTAATTAATCTTCCAGTATAAGTTAAGCAATACATGTTAACCATTGTGAGAACTGCGTTTGCTTGTGCTGTTGCAGTGCATGTATAGTTGTATTCATTTTCCTCTGACACTGTAAATTATATAACATGTCGTCTGCAAGTTTAAATCTTTCACCAAATGTTGGTATATTTTCAATAAGCATACTATGAATATATTCTGAATGCATATGTAAAATGTAGCTTGTTTATATACAGTATGTATGGGGGGGGGGTTCCTGCAGTGGGATCTTGCTGTATCTAAGTCTAACTTAAACATAATTTCTTAGCTGATATTTTTATATGATACACAAACCAAACTTATGAACATACCTTATTTGACTGAGGGTGATCCGGTGACTCCATTCCATTTATAGAGGTAAAACCCTATATTAGGATCATCGATGTAATTTTCTGTCAGTATTAATACAACAGAACAAGAAATGAATGTTTGCTTTTGACTAATCCATCATAAATACCTTATGAGATGTGTTATTCATACTGATTTAATTAAAAATTCAATATTGCCATAAGTGTTTCTGCAACAATGCCAGCAATGGTCTAATATGCATGGAGATATTAAGGGAAAAGTTTCGCCACCAGTGTATAAACAATGTGGCAAAATATTTAATGGATGACGTATTGTCTAATAATAGTACATTAGGATTGCACTCAGTGGCAAGAAATCACTTTGTTCTGCAAGAGGCCGATGTTTGTGGCCTTCATCAGTGACACAATCTCACAGTACAACTGCTTCTCTACACATTACACACAGGTGAAAGCTCTTGAGTTAATTAGCCTGCACCTGGTTGAGTAAACGTGAATGAAACAGGCTGAGTTCTTAGGACACAGGTAACATTTTCACATTATAAATTGTGTTTCCTACAGCTGGCATTATATATTATGTTATGTTGTCATAAAATTAGTTTATTTTTGTTCCGTAGAGGATAATAAGTGGCTCCAGCTCAGGTAGGAACTGGAAGTGAATGTGACTTGTACATAAATATTTAACTTCTGTTGCTGTCAGCCATGTGCACTAGGGCTGTTGTAGTGCTGCTAATAGTGAGGGGGAGTTTTCTTCATACATAGACTATAGTTATTCAAAAAGACTTGTGCCATCCCAGAAATGCGTTTTTGTGTTTATCATTTCTTTCTTTGAACAACTGCATTGAAACAGTGTGTGCTTAATGAAAAGGCTGCTGTAATCATGTATGTCTGTGTAAACCGGAAAATGCTACTGCTGATCAGATGTTAACATGCAGCTCTGTTTGGATATTTGAGTGTCCCCTCTACAGGAACTGTCAAACACTAACATGAAATTGGGAACAGGATCTATAGGTGACATGTACAATATCATGTGAGATCCACATTGTGACCTTTACCTCTTTGCCAAGTGCACAGTAGTCAGGTTGTTTACTTTACGTTCAGTAAAAGAACCATCATCTTTTCTTTAGTACTTGGATTTGTTAAAACACATAATTGCGGTTGTAATACAGTCAATTCTCCAAACTTAAAGAGTATAGATGTAGTTTATTTGGCTCTGACTGTTGGTTTAGATATATCCACATTAATATGAATGTGTATATAGTTGTCTGATGCCAAACAGAAGCGCACTGAAGAGAAAAATGATACAGATTCTTAATAGCCACTCAGCTCTCAGACTCAACTGCTGCATGCTTTTTGTTAGGGCCATGACACACCGAGCCCTTCGGGCTGTTGGCGTGCCTCTGTCAGGGCCAGTGTGTCCCGCAACGTTGGCATTAGTCGGACCCTGTTGGCGGCTTTTTGGCCTAGTCGGCATGTTGAATCGGCGTTGGCCCATTGGACCTCATCGGGGGCCACTCTGGCTGGCTGCTCAGCTTAGCAAATTGCTACACAGGAAGAGGATCGTTTGGGGAAAGTCCCTTTAGCCTGTCACTGTAGTTTCCTTATTTCACATGAGGTTTCTCCTTGTTTTTCACCTTTACAACCTCCTTTCTTCTTCCACAACCAAAAGACCAAGGACTGAGAACAGAAGTGCCATTTACAACTTCTTATCAGGCATATTCTTGATTAGAAGCCGCTATAAACAGCAGCTCAAGTGAACGAGAGCTACTTTAACGCTTGTATTTCCACAGTCTAGTTCTTCATTTTCCCTTTCTGAACGGTAAATACAGATACCACCACCTGATGGTGGGGGGAGTTATTTTTTTTTCGCGCAGGTGCAGAACATACTGTACGTGCTAGTTGGCCGTCGGCTGTAGTTTGTGCGATGTGTTCAAGTGTTTTCAACCTGACTGGCTCAGACAAAGGTGACGCAGCAGTCGGCCTTTGTCCCTGCTACTTCTTTCACGTCGGCCTTGGCGTCTCTGCCCTTAGAGCCCTGGGCTTATAATGACAGAGCTCAAGAGATTATGTAATGGGCTTGACATTTGTCAGAGGTTATTACACAGTGACCCTGACTCAAGGTGTTGGCTATAGAAAGAGCAATATTTCCTATTCATAATGTCACCCAGCCTTTCCAGTTCTCAGTACAGTCAGAGGAAGGGGAATGAAAAAAACACTGCCATCTGCCCTTATTACTCACTTTCAATCTGTCTTTTAAGAAAAACACATCTGTAGGCATTGAAAAATAAATGAAGCACTGTGATTAGAGATATTTTCACTCAGTATAAGTTCAGTTCTGCACAGTTATGTTATTGAGAATAATACAATATGGCAGGTATGCATAGGTGCCCAGTGTTCTGAAATCACTTCACACAGACTGCTGATGTCTGTGTGAACAAATCTGCATAGCGCTTTCTGAATAGTTTGCCACCCCTGGCTTTGTGGAGGCTTTCATTGTGATGTGGTTTCCTGTTGTGTAATTAGGTGCCTCACTGTTGTTAGAATCATTGACTGTCATTTTTCTGGGCAGGGCAGCTCAGGTCAAGTTAGGAATAAGATTGCTGTCAAAGCAAGTTGAATTTGTTTGCTTAACTGTTGGCTCATGCTGTAGCACTTGTGCACAGATTGTAAGCCTGTGGATCAGTGGATTTGGTGGGATACCTGTGAAGAAGCAGCTAAGTAGAGAGAATTAATGGGATAAAAGTAGTAACTAAAGTTTGTTACTTAAATAAAAGTAGCAATACCACAATATAAAAATACTCTGTTCAAGTAATAGTCCTGCATTCAGAACATTAATTAAAAGTACTCATTATGTAGAACGGCCCATTTCACATGTATAAATAAATTTTAATCGCTGATGTATTATTGTGTACATCTCGTTTTATGTTGCAGCTGGTAAAGGGGGAGCTAGTTTTAACTACCTTATATGTTTATAATTTGAAGTACTTTACATACTGCTGGGTCGCCTGTGAATTTCCCACCAGAGACCAATAAAGTGATTATATGATTATAGTGTAATTTTTTTGTCCTAATCTGGTTCTAAAAGTAACTAAAGGTATAAAAGTAATGTAGAGTAAAAAGTACTGTATTTACCACTAAAATGTGTTGAAGTCAAAGTATGAAGTAGCACAAAATGGAAATACTCAAGTAAAGTACAAATACCTCAAAATTGTGCTTAAGTCATTGTACTTAGTTAGTTTCTACCGCTGAATAAAAGTATATTAAAAACATGTAAAAGAAACAGTCTTACAGTTCTTTTTTGCACTGGTTTAACTACTAACTGGTGTGTGTGGTTGGACCAGGGTTATTAAAAACCGTTTTTCTGTGTTGCTGTTTCTGCTTTTTCAAGCAGTAGAGTCGTTGGTCACACGTACAAAACATTATTTCATTTCATTACAGACACTGAGTTTTGTCAGCTACCGGTTCTGACCTTTTTAGAGTCATTACATTTGCACAGGAAACTCTGGCACTACTAAGTATTGATTGGTTTGAAATGTCACGCACACTGTAGTGAG